GGGGAAGGTTACAGGTGGCAGCCTCTTTGATGCACCTTCTGAGGGATCTGGGTCTTCTTGCTCCGAGATGGGAGTGAAGGTGTTAGCTGGAGGGACTGGTCTCTTCAGGGAGGAGGGTGTCGCTCGTGGCTGTAGAAGATAAGAAAGGGAATCAGTTAAAAAATAAGAATAGGACATCAGCTCAGGCGATGTTCTGTTCAGACGACATTCACTTTGTGGTAATGACAGCGTGGCACAGCAGTTGACAGTGATTCTTATTTGGGGCATGGTGATGTCAGCTTCAGGATATGAGCGGCAAGATCCTCTCTCGAAGGCAAGAATTCCCTCCTTGTAGAGGGTGAGGAGAACAGATGTCAGGCACTGCACCTCTTGACCTGCTCCTTGTATCTCAATTTCTCCTGGAATGAGGCAAAGATAGGGGTTGAGTGAGATGAAAGTGACTGGAACATCTGCTAGTGTTGGTGCAGGTGGAGAAGAGGCAGTAAGCTGTCCTGAGACAGTGAATAGGAAGGGTACATGGCAGGAAGGGTTGGTAATTTGGTGGGGGGGGATGGGGTTGTAAAGTGCAAATGAGGGGAGATGCTGCAGGCAACAGTCAGAGTGAGACACCATGAACCCTGGTTGTTGGGGAGGGGGAGAGGGTGAGTTGTGTTAGTGGAGTTAGACTAAGTCTAAGATAACAGAGAAGAGGTTGGCAGTTACTCTTGCGGAGTCCAGAGGGTTATTAACTTTCTTTCTGCATTGCTGAACACTTCTCTGGACCATCAATATAGCACTGACCCAGATGGTAACTTTGGACCTGTCCTGGGACCATGGTTTCTTCTGGAAGTCTTGAGGAAAGAGGGCAGCCCTCTTGAGCACCACGCCATCCAACAGGATGTCCAGGCCCCTGTTGACTAAGTGGGGTGAACGATTTTCTCTATCTGCCATCTCTTCCCACACTGGAACTGGGAAATTCCCATTCCTGGTTTGCAGCATGCGAACTGGAACACAGCTGGGGTTTCTATATGGAGCTGCCATCAGAAACTCTGAATGTCCCTGAAGTGGTAATCACTTCTGTTGCTGATGGGTGCAAGATATTACAAGAGCATTGCATGGAGGCATGGTGCTTAGTAATGAGGGCAGCACCATGAAATTACCTGAGGTTATTTGCTAAAGCTCACAGAGAGAAACCCTCCATGAAACTCCCCGAAATTGACAACTAGCCAAATTTTGGGAAATATCCAGCCGAGGGTTTAATATTTTCATGTCAGTGACCGATTATTCTGAACGACGAGAAGTCAGATCTCTAACAGGTTTTAAACAAGCAAAGCGGCAGGGCAGCACGGTGGCTCAGTGGTTAACACTATTGCCTCACAGTGCCAGGGACCTGGGTTCAATTCCAGCCTCGCATGACTGTGCGTGTGGAGTTTGCACATTCTCCCTGTGTCTGTGTGGGTTTCCTCCAGGTGCTCCGGTTTCCCCCCACAGTCCAAAAGATGTGCAGGTTAGGTGCATTAGCCATGCTAAATTTCCCATAGTGTCTAGGGTGGTAAATGCAGAGATAGAGTAGGGGGTGGGTCTGAGTAGGACAATCTTCGGAGGGTCAGTGTGGACTTGATGGGCCGAATGGCCTGCTCCCGCACCTTAGGGACTCTATGAACTTCTACAGTGGAGACGAGGTAAGACAGAAGGCAACAGTGATCAAATGATAAAGGTGACAATGGTGGAAGGCAAAACAATCTCTGAAATGGCCACTGAAAAAAAAACAGTTCTAGTGCAATTACTGCAAGTATGAACGCACAACAATGCAATCACATGTCCTGGAGAAGTGAAAAGACCTGAAAACTAGCAGCAGGTGCTTCATCCAATCAGGTTATACTGAAAAAGCAATGAGTGAAAGCTCAGTATCAGGAAAAACAATGAAAAATTGTATTTAAGTTGGAGCTTTCTTGACCTTAAATCCTAAAGTGATTCTCAGCCAATTGCTGCATTTTTCAAATGCACTGTTATATCGGCAATGTTTGTAATGTAGGCAAGTGCAACATTTAGTTTGCACACTAAATAACAATTTTTTTGCAGTCACATTGCTTGAAAGATAAATGTTAGACAGGATACTAAGAAAACTCACTGGTAGATATTCAGAGATGATCATCTTAGGTTCAGGGAAGGTTCCTTTAGGTTGCAAAATAGCTAATGTTTATTATTGATTCCTTCTTTATTTAAAAAGGGAGGGAGGCAGAATGCAGGAAATTATAGCCCCGTTAGCTTAACATCTGTCATTGGGAAATTGCTCAAAGTCCTTATTAATGATGTTATAATGGGACACTTGGAGAGGTTCAAGGGTAATCAAGCAGAGCCATATGGTTTTGGCAGAGAAATTTATATAAATAATTTCGATGAAGGGATCAAAGATGTGATAACTAAATTTGCTGATGACACAAACATAGGTAGGAGACAGAGTTGGTGATGATGACATTAGAAGCCAACAAAGGGTTACAGATAGGTTAAGGGAATGGCCAAACATCTGGCAAATGGAGTATGAAGTGGGAAAATGTGAAATTGTCCATTTTGTCAGTAAGAATTAAAAAAAGCATATTATCTAATTGGTAGGAGGTTGCAGAACGATCTAGGTGTCCTGGTGTTTAAACAATAGAAGATTAATATGTAGATACAGCAAACAATCAGGAAAACTAGTAGATTGCTGTGCTTTATTGTGAAGGGAACTCAATGCAAATGTAGGGAGTTTATGCTTCAGTTATACAGGGCATTGGGGGTCAGACTGCATCTGGAGTACTGTGTACAGTACTGGTCACTATACTTATGGAAAGATATTAATGGATTGTGCACAGATCAGAGAAGGTTTACTAAACATTACCTGGAATGAGTAAATTGCTTTATAAGGAAAGGATAGGCAGACTGGGCCTGTATCCTCTGGAGTTTGGAAAAGTCCGAGGTGATTTAGTTGAAGCATATAAAATCCTGAGGGGAATTGACCGGGTGGATGTCGAAAGGATTTTTCCTCTTGTGGGAGAGTCTGGAACTAGGATCTTAATTTAAAAATAATGGGTCACCCATTTTAGACAGAGATGAAGAAACATTTTTTTCCTAATGAGAGTTGTGTGTTTTTTGTAATTCCCTTCCTCAAAAGGCAGTGGATGCAGAATCTTGAAATATTTTAATGCAGAGTTTGACAGCTTTATTGAGGGGATATAAGAGGTTAAGAGCTTATCAGGGATATGCAGAACATAGAGTTCAGATTAAAATCAGATCAGCCGTGACTTTATTGAATGGTGGAGCAGGTTCAAAGGGCTGAGTGGCTTACTCTTGTTCTTTGTTTGTATGTTCTAATTAACACCAATTCATGAGCTTATTATAAAATATTCATTTCATTTTAAAAAATGAACTAATTTGGGCAAAGCTGATGCCCAGCTAAAATAAGTTATTTGAGAAATTTCACTAAGTCTCCGTCGCTCAGTTTCGTCAGTGTTATTTTCAACATCACCAAGTATAAATGAAGAAAACTATTACATCCATTTGCTTACCCTGACACAGAGATTGATAGTTTTAATTGTCTTGTGTGGGAGAGAAAGTTCCTTCCAGTATTATTCAAACAGGTTTCCAATTAGGAGCTAGACTGGCAGAGTCTGGACAGGTAATATCCTATGATTCTGAATCATACTGTGACTATTATTACTTAAAGGGAGTGCTCCTTACTTTCTGTCTATACTTCCATCAGACACACCAGAACTTTGTGGGGATGTGTCAGATGTCCTGCTTGGGTTTCTGCTCCTGGGCCCTTGTCAAAGTGACAATCAACTGGGCTAGGAACTGTGGGTAGAGACTTTCTGGCTGCCTACCCCTCTATGGTGGCTTTTTTTTTAAACCATCCAGGTGGAGCCTTGCCTTCCAAAGCTGGTGGTGCTGGAAAATCCACGCTGGAACTAACATTCCTTCCAGAAAAAACTGATTAAATTTCTGAGATAGTAGGAACTGCAGATGCTGGAGAATGTTATCTGTGATTTCTGCTTTTTGTGCATCTGTGGGTGTTATTAATTGACATCCTGCTTAAACAATAACCTTTGTTAGATTCAGAGATAGTAGGAACTGCCAATGCTGGAGAATCTGAGATAACAAGGTGTAGAGCTGGATGAACACAGCAGGCTAAGCAGCAGCAGAGGAGCAGGAAAGCTGACATTTTGGGTTTGGACCCTTCTTCAGAAGACCTGAAATGTCAGCTTTCCTGCTCCTCTGATGCTGCTTGGCCTGCTGTGTTCATCCAGCTCTATGCCTTGTTATCTCTTACATTTGTTAGATTGCTATTTGCACGTGGGTCAATGACACTGGTGCCATTAAGACCAATGCTTGTGCCCAAAGAATTGGAATGGTGAACTCACTGCCACAAGGAATGGTTGCAGCAAACATATGGGAAAACTAGACAAGCATCTGAGGGAGACAGGATTAAGTGGTAGATTTGGATGAAAAAACACGGGAGGAAGCTCAGGTGGAGCAAAAACGTCAGTATGGACTGGCCAGACCGAATGGCCTGCCTTGTACCGTATCTCCCATACATGTAGTACCATTAAAGGTAATAAAACGGATAATTAGAAAACGGAATATAACATGATCCATGTAAGGATTTGCTGGATGACTAAGAGCTTGATCCAACGGAGTGTATTTTAAATGGGAAACACAGTGTGGCCCGAATGGTGCAATTTCGACAGCAGAATGGAAAATCACTGACACTTTGAAAGAAAATGGGAGGAAACGGGAGTCTAAAATGTTTTTAAAACACACAATTGGAGGGGAGTGAGTGGGGAATTTGGGTGTAACATCTATTTCTTAGTCACAACATAAACCGCGCCCACATTAAATGTGGGGAAGGAATCGCCACATCACCAGTAATTGGAAAAAAAACAGAAGTGTACAATGGGATTGCGAATAAGCCCATGTCGTGTTACACTGAAGTCTTTCCCAATCTTGAGCGATCGAAGCGACTTCCCTATACGTGCGAACGCTAACGCTGTAATGGAACACGTCAGTGTTCGTTGGGTCAGCACCAAGCTCGATGGAAATGTTTGCTCAAATGCACTGAACGGTTCAGGCGCTAGAGTGCAACCTGTGGTCAGGGGCGCTGGCATGTAGAGGCACCCTTCCTTCCCTTTCAGCAGCGACGCTGTCTACAGCCCCCTTGTGCTTTCCTCAATGTGGAGCACACTCCTGTACAAAGCGGCGTCTCCATCTATCTCTCATCCTCTTCCAGACAAAGCTCTCTAGCTCCAGTGCTCATCCTCCAGCAGTCACAGAGTTTCCCCCGCTTTCTCTGTCTCTGTCTCTGCAGTGACTAACACTCAGGGCTGAGCCCAGCTCGCTGCCGCTAGATTCCGGTTTCATTGCTGCACCGCGAAGTGGTAACAGAAGGGAACCCCGGTAAGTGCTGAACTGAGCAGGATCCAAGTCGAAGGCGTGTATCACCTCCCCCCCCCAACTTCCTGAGGGTTCAGGGGGGGCGGGGGCAGGCAGGAAATCCGTTTAACAGAAGTGCCCTACCCTGAACTTCTCTTATTCTGAGCGTCTGCAATAAATCAGCAGCGGGAATAATAGTTTTGGATGAGATATCGAACATGTATGAGACGCATGATCGCTGTGTTTAAAGAGGCAGGAGTCGGAAATGCAAGCACTCCTTGGGTTTCCATGACTGACTATTTCAGAGCTGGAAGTTTACTGGGACCTGCATATGGTGAAGGCTGTAGCTTGTTGATAAATAGGTGAAGCGGTCATTTGTACCACTTTAATTCTAATTAGCCCACTTAAAATGTGGGCTTGGTAGTTTGACATGTTGTCTGTACAGCACTCAGCCAGTGAGGCGACACTTCAGATCACTCGGAGTCCATAAACAAAGGGTTATTTTGGAACTTCGACACCATGCCACTTCATCAAAGCCTAGGGTACATGTGACAACAGCCGTACGGGAGGTAAGATCATGGTTAGCAGTGCAGTACGTTATAGGCATCTCTTTGCATTGGAACTGCAGTAGAAGGTTGGTTTAGCACGATAATGCCAGGGATGCTGATCAAAGACTTGCGGTAAAGCTAAGGAATATGCCAGGGATGCTGGTCAAAGACTTGAGGTAAAGCTAAGGAATA